CGCGGCGACTGTTCGAACAATCCCGCCCCAAGATATCCGCCGTTTCCAACGACATCCGCTTCCCCGTACCGAGCGGTGCTGTTGGGGTCTTCTACCGCGACGTTGGTTCACCTGTCGAGCGAAAGGTACTGCAGGTATTGACTTTGTCTCGCGTATCGCTTTCCCTCTCATGTTCATCCTGTTTAATCTGGGCTACTGGTCCACCTATCTGTTCCAAGGTGACGAAGGCGATTACATGCATAAGTAAATTCGAATTCTGACATCTGTTTCACGCCTGTCACCAATGGATCGGACGAACGAGAGGAGAAGGTGAATGTGCGAGCGACGTCAAGACCACGTCGTATGCCGTGCTTCAAAGTCTGTCTGTAACTGCTGCCTCCAAGAATCCTGTTCCCTGTATCGCGGCGAATTTTCCTACGATATGCGTCATCCAATGTGTCAATGTTCTTATCGAGAGCGAGAGGGTGTGAAAGAGCGTGTAACGTTACATCAGACGTTCTAGTAATATTATCTTCGATACACTAAAACACGATGCAGGGGACAAAGATTCGCTCGATGCTCGTTTCAACGAGGAAAGGATAACCGTAGAGAGAGAGAGCGAAAATATCGGGAGGCAGAGCGTATTCCGACAGAAGACTTTTTAATAATCCGTGCCTGAAGTTCGATGACCATATTTTAAAGACCAAGGTAAGCGCAACGAAATACGCAACGTTTGGTACGGTAGGGAGTAGTCGACGAGATATTATATTATATATAAATGATAATATATACATATATAATTATATATATATTATATGTTATATAATATGTAACATGTATGTGTATTATATATGTATGTATTACATAACGAGACGCGAAAACGGGAAACGAACGTGGTGTAAGAATTATAAGCTCTTATGAGACCGTATACATATTAATTATACACATATAAACACTCCTCTGTAACATATTCGGAAGACCGCGTGCCACAGGATGATTAACCAACGTAGTGGGCCCTGTATAGCCACGGCCTGTTAACGAACTACTTGCGAATAAATTTATAAATAATATAACGTAATTATAATTGACAAGTAAAAAAAGAAAAAAAGTCGTTAAATGCAACAATGATTCCTGTGTATAAAAAGAAAATCCTCAGTCTAAACGGAATTAACGAGTCAATGTTAAGCATATTATTTAAATAACCCGATGATTAACATTGATTCGAATGCGAACCAAAAGAGAAGACAAGGACGTGAAAGAGAAAACGATTAAAAAGATAAAAGAAAAAAAAAAGCGAAAAAAAAAAGAGTAAAAGAGAAAAGTAACGTTCTCGAGAGGACAATTAGCTGATATTACGAGAAAAAAATCGCATTATCACGAAGGATTATACCATTTAGATATTAATTATCGATCGAGGCGGTAGTATTACACACGGACACGCGACAGACGACTCTCTCTTTCTCTTTCTCTCTCTCTCTCTCTCTCTCTCTCTCCCTTCCTCTCTTCTTCTTCTCTCTCTTTTTCACACACGCACACACGCATACACGTCACGCACACACACAAAATAAAACGTTGCTCTCCGTTGAACTTTTTCGAGATCTCGGGATCTCTAAAGTATTGCTCATTGACCAGTCGAGACTGAGGATATTGTTCAATGTGAAAAATATATAGGTGGAAAGAAAAAACCGTAAAAAGAAAAAAAATTGAAAAAAAAATCGAAAAAAAGGTATATATAAATATATATATATACATATATGAAAAAACGGACTGAAATCGAATGAATCGAGCGAGACACGGTTCATCGTCGGATAAGGAGCGTAGAAAACTTTATTTCCCGGCAAACGTACCGCAAAGAACGTTTGTCGATCATCCGTAAGGGGGAAAGAATTAAAAAAAAAAAAAAAAAAAAAAAAAAATGAGAAAAAAACCAAGCCAAAAAAAAGACGAAAAAAGGTCTAGATAAGATTGTGTTGCAAAGTAATACGGAAGGAAAGGAGAATACGAAGGGGTGGAAAAAAACGGGGATGAGATTAAAGCGATTTTAATTTACTGTGCGCGTGCTTCGTTTTAATTGTCGACTCGAATGGACCGCCGTTTCGAGACACGTCGAACAAATTTCCTGCATCGAAGCGGGTCTCTATAGTAATATACGCGTATGTTTTATAGTAGATCTAACAAGCGTTCTGTCCGTTCGTATTCCTTTCGTTCATTGCATGCGACGAAAATTCGTTTCTCGCCAACTAATCTCTAAGGCACATTAGATTTCCTTTCGACAGCAGGCTCATAGAGGAAAGTTTTTCGAACGAATCCTTTGGCGTCTCAGTTTTCCCTATCGTTGTTCGTTTGTCTGACCGTCGCCATATCGATTCGTCGTTGAAATAGTTCGATGCTTCGATCGTAAAGGGAAGCTTTTAGATCAGAGGAAGGTAAATAACACCGATATTTAAAAGGAAAAGAAACAAAAAAAAAAATGATGAAAAGTAAGAAAGCTTAAGGAAGAACAGAATAAACAGAGGAAAGAAGAGAGCGAAAGAAACGACTGAGAGGATGAGTATAATATGGTGCGCAAGCGAGGAAGAAGAAGAAGAAGAAGAAGAAGAAGAAGAAGATGAGGAAGGGAAGAGAAAATAGAAAGAATGGGAAAAGAGCGTTGTGCTGATTTTATCGTCGTTTCACGCTGTCCTTCCGTTTTGCTCATTCTCCTTGATTTGTCCGTTTATCATAGCACAATGTCGGATCAGTATAACGTCCTGCTCAATAACGACTGACATAAAAACCAATTATGATGATTAATTGTATATACGTATTCTTATCGTGACTATCGAGGTGTAACGCGAATGAATGAATTCCCGAATTTTAAACTGAAATTTCGATTTTATCGAACGCGCCGTGCGACTCGTGGCCGCAAATTAACGAATAATTGAGCGAGAGATGGCGAGAGAACGAAACTGAAAAGAACAAAAATAAGAAGAGCGTATGGTAAATTGTTTAATCGTCGAGAGTTCTCTCCGAACAGTATTATAATTATTAAAAAGAGAGAAAAAAGAAGAAGGAAGACGTTAAGAAGAAGAAAAGGAATAAAGAGAAAAGCGGAAAGAAGAAATGACGAGCGTAGAGAAACTGACTCCGAAATCATCGTTGGTCACTGTCTACATTCTGCATGATTACGGTGGATGGGTGAACGAATCGCCGGACTGGTCACAAAATAAATATGGTAAATCGTAATTGCGCGACTAACGCGTATCACGTTTCATTCTTCGTAATTCAAAACCCGGCAATCACGTTCATGTTTTATATTATCGGTACGATACGAGTACACCATTTTGTCAGACTGCATCGTTCCAGGCGTGTTTCAAAATCGTAAAGGAACAAGAGAAAAACGTAAAAAAAAAAAAAAAAAAAAAGGAGACAACTCGTGGGAACGATCGAGAAAGCGACAACCATGCGAGATTACGAAGAAGAGCGAAAGAAACGATAGGATACGATCTTTCTTTTCTTCGTCATGTCGCGTCGAGTCCGCGTTTCTCGTTCGTTTATTTCGTAAAAAATAAAGAAACAAATAGATAAAAAAAAGAAGAAAAAAAAAGAGAGAAGAGTCACACGCTGAGAAACGGCAAAAAAAAAAAAAAAAAAAAAAAAAAAAAAAAAAAAAAAGGAGACAACTCGTGGGAACGATCGAGAAAGCGACAACCATGCGAGATTACGAAGAAGAGCGAAAGAAACGATAGGATACGATCTTTCTTTTCTTCGTCATGTCGCGTCGAGTCCGCGTTTCTCGTTCGTTTATTTCGTAAAAAATAAAGAAACAAATAGATAAAAAAAAGAAGAAAAAAAAAGAGAGAAGAGTCACACGCTGAGAAACGGCTGGTACGGTGTTGATCTTATCGTTGTCACCTTTCAAAATTAGTAGCCAAACGAGAAAGAAGAAAAAGATAGAAAGACGAAAATATACGAGAGAAATCGATAAATCGAAGATGAGGTTTTTTCATTTCGATTCGGGATTTTGTTTGGAAAAGTGAAGAAGAAAAAAGAAAGACGAAGAAGAAAGAAAAGCGAGCGATCATCTTGCGGAACGCGACGTATTTATTTTTCACGATATTATCGAGAAAAAAAAAAGAGAAGAACAAATCGAGCGGCGATTTTGAAGTGTAAGATATAACAAATGAATGGGCAGAGGGGAATGTTTCGTTCTTCAGCTAGTCTTTAAGTTTCTGTGTTCTTTGCCAGTGGCCAATAGTTGAAGGCAGGAGAAAAAGTACAATGAAAATGAGGATAATTTAGATTTAGTTGATACGAGATCATAAGAGGATAATTTAAAGAGTATAAATACTTCGATATGAATAATCAAATTTGCCCAACAGCTATTGGCTGTAATTTTACACAGCGTAACTCGCCCCCATATACATCAAATTTCATCAGGGTAATTAATCGAGCTAACAAAATCTACATCTATAATTCCTGTTACTCTAATACAGATTCGATTAAGTTTGTCCTAATTATAATCTTAATCGAGAAACTTTGATTTGTTATGACACGATCGAAAGAGAATCTCTATTTTATCGATTTGTTTTTCTACTCTTAAACCGCAGATTTATCGTACAAGTATCGTAGGAGTCTTTAATAAGTATCTAACGTTAAGTGAAAACGTCTTAAAATGTAAATGGGATTGTTAAGTTTTATCTCTTCCAGAATTCCAAGTCGTTAATGATAAATACCGTTTTATATTTACAAGCGAGTCTCATCAACCTTCTGTTTATTCCGTGTGTTTCACTATACTTATCTATAGAAAAATCGTATATAGCGAATCGTACAAACTACGTATGCGAACACTATGGGGGAATTTTGATAAGGTAAATTAAATTAAACTCGAAACGATTTTATTTGAGGAATAAAATAAAATATGTATACGTATATATGAGAATAATATAGATAAGAAAAGTCTGCCCTGTAACTTCAAAATCGCAACATTGTCGGGAGAAAAAGATAAGGTACCTATTTTAAATTTCAAAGTACACACCTAAGGATCTAATTTTTATTGTTTTAGTGCGTTTACTATGTAATATTATTATAAGTACAAAAAAACGTTTCTCTATGTAGTTTAAGATATGTAATAAGTTGAAACAAGAAAGGAATATATCTATCAGAGAATCACGAGTGTTGATTATTTTAAAAACAAAAAAAGAAAAAAAGAACAAGTGCAGTATAAAGTGAAATCGAATGAATAGTTGATTTATGTTATTACTCAGCGACTCCCTAATGCATAATGCACCATTTGATGTATATTTGATGAATAAGAGATTCTTGAATCAAAAAAGAAAATGATAATTTTTCCAACTTTTCTATATCATCCCCTGTATATATGTTGTGGCGCAGTTGTTTATCAAAATACATCGTCCCTTCAGTAAGTTAATTAACTACAAATTTGACTTTACGCAGACATAACTGTCGTCTTCATATTCTTGCACAGTTGAATTATTACTGTACATGAAATTATACACGTATTATAATTTATAAAGTCAACAATATCAAGATTGGTAATAAATCAAACCAAGTTTTGTAACCACATTTTACAAAATTGCAAGTCATCCTACTCGATGCAAAATTATAAAATTGTAAAAGAGAAATTTATAATTTATAGTCCGTAAATAGTCAATTTAGAAATATTATTAATTAGTCAATTATTGTGCAGATGTGCCATTACGTCCTAGTTTATCTATTGCGTTCCAAACTACTCTAAATAAAATTTTAGTAACTTATTCTTACGTTCAATTTAATCTTTCAATTACTATATAAAAACGTGTTGGCGATCGCAGCCAATTAGCTCATATTATTCGTTATATAATTAATAACTATGTCACGCATACGTGACTCTAATGATAGCTCTGATGAATGATATAATTAGTAATTATAAATACAATGAAATCGAAAAATACAATGTCAGGTCTTACCACATGAAAGTGCGCATGATCCGCGTTCCCATCCACATCCTTCGTTTACGCAAAAATATACTAATTTTATACTTAAAAGACTGAACAAATTCTGCTTTTGATATAAGTTTACAAAACCCTCCGGTCTTTTCGTAAAACAAGCAACAAAAGTAGATTTTAGGAAAACCGACCTGAGAAACTAAGTATAAAGGTAAAAGTTAGGTTAAATCCTACATTATATGCAAAACTATATCATAGCTCTATATGAAACGATATTTCGTACTTACATCAATATTTTACACTATCATTAGTACGAAAAAGTAGAATAATTAATAGTTAAAGGATATATAAAGAACATATCTAAAAATATGAAACGCGTTTCATTAAGGATTATATTATTTATCCATATTATGCTACTATCTACTAAACATCATCCATAATTATGCATGCACTTAATTACTACTACTCATATTTAGATACTAAAGCACAGATTAACACTCCTATATATTTTATACATTACACATATATATGTTTTAGCAGTATTAACCAATGTTCTCCTATTAAGTACTCCTACATATGTTAAAGACACTTATTAATTTTTAGAGAAGATCTACCTAATTCGGAATTTATAATTTAACCTATTTTGTAAAAATCTGAAGGTTCTCATGAGCCCTATCTATATACAAATATCTGCAATGATTTTTTCAAAACCTTGAATATCTTCTATGTACTTACGCATCTTGAAATACTTGGTATATCCCTTTTCATCAATACTGTTGAGATATCTGAAACAAACTTAAATTTAAATTAATTCAAACGAGATTAAAAACATTTTCATTGGGCCCAACTACCAGAAGTTTATTGTTAGGAATCTTATAATCCTATCTATCATAAATCTAAATGTTTCTTTTAAACCTTTCCATAGGTACCTTTTCCTATGTGTTTTCTAGAAAGAGCATAATAGATATATGTAAATTGTATTATATGTAAATATCAGCATATAAAGAAAATATAAAATAATATGTACTTACATAAACTGCGTTTTGAAATGTAAAGCTTGCATTTTCTTAATACGCATGCGTACGTTGTTCACGCGGTATAAATAAGTGAGGTTATTTGTATCAACAGAAATACAATCGTTTGCAAACTTTTTTGTTTGTTAAATAGCAACGAACGAAAGAAAAGTTTGGCGTATTTAAGTAATTTTTGCTTAGGGTTATTTCTAATTTTTTCGAAAAATGGATGACGAAGCTGAAACATACAAATTATGGCGTATAAGAAAAACGGTAATGCAATTGTGTCACGATCGAGGTTATCTAGTCACACAAGATGAATTGGATCAAACTTTGGAACAATTTAAAGAACAATTCGGGGACAAACCAAGTGAAAAAAGACCAGCACGCAGCGATCTTATAGTTTTGGTTGCTCATAATGATGATCCGACAGATCAACTTTTTGTATTTTTCCCAGATGAACCAAAAATTGGTATCAAAACTATTAAAACCTACTGTCAACGTATGCAGGAAGAGAAAATTCACAGGTAACTTGATAATTGTGTAATAATTTATAGAATTGGGACGTAATAATTTTGAGTTTCTGTCTTGCTTTTCCACAGGGCTATTATTGTTGTGCAACAAGGAATGACACCATCGGCAAAACAATCGTTGGTGGACATGGCACCAAAATATATATTAGAACAATTTTTAGAATCTGAATTGCTTATTAATATCACAGAACATGAACTGGTACCTGAACATATTGTACTTACACCAGACGAAAAAGAAGAATTACTTACCAGGTACAAACTAAAAGAAAATCAATTAATGCGTATACAAGTTGGTGATCCAGTGGCACGTTACTTTGGTTTAAAACGTGGTCAAGTTGTAAAAATTATTAGGCCTTCGGAAACTGCTGGTAGATATATTTCTTACAGACTTGTATGTTGATATATTGTGCATTATTTTAAGAGTAAACTAGACTATGTAATTTTTATAATTACTATGTAAGATAAAGAAAAAATAAGATCTTGTTAAAATATACTTCATTAAATTTTAAAAGAAGATAAAAGTCCATATCTGTCACATGATACTTTATTATACTTTAGTTGCATTTCATAATTACATAATTGGTGGTTATCTACTAACTATACATCAGGCAGTTAATAATGCTTGGCGTTAATTTTGCAACAATACATTTTCTTCATATTGTAAATTTATCTTAATTGGCTTATTAGCTGTAAAAAAAAGGTATAAGCAGTGTAATTTTATACATCTTTAACAGTAACGAATAAAATCAAATTCAACAAAATAAACTTTGTTCAAACATATTTTTTATTACATTTCATTATTATACATTTCTTGGTCCAAATGTGTCATGGTATACCGTTGTCATAAGACAACTCAATTCCAAATTCATTTAAGCAATTGTACACATATAGTTTCAAAGCAATATTTATAACAACTATATTTGTATATTGCTTTATTTGTTGCTGTCTTAAAGACTTTGTTTTAACATTTAATATATGGTAATTAAAAGAACAAATATAGATCACACATGTCAATAAAATAATTGCAATAAAAAACTGAAACAGTAAGGATAATAAATTGTGCACAACGAATATTTGTAACAATAAATTCCTTTTAAGTACAGAAGGCAAGTGAATCTAATGTTATATGCTTATAATCTAAGCTACTCACTTTAAGAAGCCCTTGACAAGATTCAACTATACTATATTTATACTCTCAGTAACATTAACCATAAAGTTAGAATAAAGTACATAAATTTGCGTTTTAAACATTTCAAACTTAAATAATATAATTAATCGCTATGTTTCTCCAAATTTAAACTTTATAAAAAGTGAACATTAGTATATTATTTGTATCCTGTTACAAATTTTCAATTTCATTAATATAAGAGTCACTTTTCTCCAGGAACTATATAAAATATAGTAACTAATTTAAAAAACTATTAATAATAAAAAAATGTTTCGATATATTAGTGGAACACAATTTAACAACAAACATGTTTTTTCTTTTCATTTTTCATAATAAGAAAACTTATTCCTTTTAGTATTTGCTTTCTTTTTTCACTTATTTTGAATATAGTGCATGCATAAGCATATAAGATTACTTATTTATATGATATTTTGCAAAGCAGTTAGATGAGCTAAAATATCACTTTAGTCATATAAAGTTGTAATTTTAAAAAATAATTATGGTAGATGGGCATAAGTAAATAATGCATGCAAGAGTAATTAATATAATATATTGTTATCAATAAAATGTAAACATAACGAATAATAATAATTACATAATAAGACTACAGATCTTTATTGTTTACACGGAAATAAGAAAGCAACATTGTCGAAATAATTAGATAAAAAGAAGTATTTAAAAAATATACACGAACTTTCACTCTTTTAAAATTAATAGATTTTGAAACAAAAACGTTATACATACCATTCGCTCAAAAGTCAAGTCTATCTCGCACGGCCGATTTTATATTAATCGTATATACGTATATCGCTTTTTGGCATGTTAGTGAAATGCATTACTGAACATAAATTTTCGTTGCGAAGACAGTAAATAATGCGGAATCAAATGAATTTCTCATGCAAAAATTTATACATTTATTCTAATTCTCTACGTTCTTTCCATTATTAATATTTCTTAAATTACAAAGGATAAATCAGTCGTTGTGTTTGAGTCTCAATATGAATACGTATGTACGACGTTTGTGTAAAAAAACTTGTGTTCTCGTTCCCTTTTCTTCATCATAAAATCTCCAAAAGAGAAAACACAATATCCCCAGAAACTATGTTTCATAGCATAGTTGACAATGGTAAAAATCAAATTTCCCAATCATTTGCATTCGATTGGAAAAAATTAAAAGGGCAAAACAGCTAACTTTGGCTGCTACTATTCTTTTGCTAATACTTCAGAAAATTTACTTCGAAAGATGCAAGAATGATTATTTCACATACAGTCTGAATAATACAAGTCTATATATGATACACAGCAAGTATATCTGATGTCATGATATCAGATGTATCTTAACCGCTGGAAGAATACTCTCTTCCCCAAACATTTGTAAAAATATTCACAACATAGAGGCAAAATGGTGTGCATTTTATGCCAAATGGCGACGCGTTTTAATGCTATATCTATATAAAGTTCTCGTATCTCGTATATGGATAGCTTACTTAGGCTCTTTATCACCAAGGTCCCCGTTTCTCGAACAACAAATTCGTATTAAAAAATACAATGTTTATACCAGCCCGCTTATAAACCTGTTTTTCGAAACAATAGGCATTTTCCTCTTTAATATGACCGATATTTGTCATCACTGATGTATATAGTTAATGTTATATATTTTCATACACATACTCCATCAATGGACTACCAAGATATACGAAACACCATTTAAAATTTCATTTGTCATATATAAATACTGTAAATTTACTTCCACGTCTATTTTCTACTCTACTAGAGTATTCACAAAAATGAAATTTAAGGTAACCAAACCAGGTGCCTATTGTATAACACAATTGTCTATCGGAAACGTTGGCTAGTAGTATCAGTCCCAGTGAAAAATTTTCTTTATAGACCCAATAACAAAAAAAGACATGCTACCCTGTTATATACTATATCAGGAACTCTACATTTGTTTATATAAATTACTAGACACTGAGAATGTTTTTCAGTGAGACCAATAAAAAGTATTAGCAATAATATCGAGTCCATTTAAACAACTCTACGTCTAGACCACCAATACATCCTGGTAGCCCATTCGATAGGCGGAGTTTGCAAAATGTTGTTGATTAGTTCTGCAGTAAGTCTGATCCTGTACGTGATAGTGGTGGGATAATGCGGCCGATGCCTTTGGCCTCTGTGTGCACAACATGAGGCCTAGAATAAATTATTCCCTTTTAACAAAATTTACAAAAGAACAATAAAAATAACTAATCAGAAATCCAAATGATATTTACCTAGGAGTGATACGGAGTAACATATGTAGAAGGAAACAGGCCTCGTCTGTTACCAATTTCTCCATGCCACCAGTGTTGGTCTGTACGATCAGTAACAGTTATTACATCACCTCGTTTGAATTCAAGTTCACCAGGTTCTTGAGGTTGAAAGTCATATAATGCTTGGACTAAACACTGAAACAATGTACATTCTTATATTGCAAAATCAACATCTCTATGTTACTTAATAGTTTAATTGTTATATAAGAGATAATTACTTCTTCTGGCACCATATCCCTTAATTTAACATCTTGTGAACGAGATACAGATGCTGTACGATGATATTCCACTAATTCATTAAGACTGTTAAACTTGACCACCCAGAGGAAGAATTTACCTTGAGCATCTCTTAATACTTTGAAATGTTGAACACCATCTGAACATCTACAAAAAATTATTAAGTAGTTATTCAAGTAATTACTTTATATCACCATATCAACATTTTTCTTAAGAACATTTTACTAACTTTACAGACAAGGAGAAATCACCAGGAGAACTTTCACTGATTCTAATAAGAAAGGCGCCTTCATGTTTGTTCATTAGTAATCTTTCTGCATCTGCTCTGGTTATCCTTCCATAGTACCAGCTGAATAAAGCAAATAAGATATAAGATATAAGATACAGTTAGATTTCTCCAAAGAATGCATTAATATCTAATAAAAGAAATTTGTAAGGACACTCACTCATGATTTTTCATCTCTATGTAATTACTTGGAATGAGTCCTTCTCTGGAGTCTAATTCAGCTCTGTACCAATTCATGTCATCCTCCATATTTAAGATCTGTAAAAAGATCATTAAAGGTATGCTCGATTTGTTGCAAATACCATTTCTTAATAAAATATTTCCACATGCAGAAAATATTAAAAGATCTAATTATGACATACATTTATTTTTTTACTTCAATTATAATCTTTAGTTTCAATAAAAAGTATAAGAACCAAAATTATTACAATTAATTTCATGAAATCTTGGACATAAATTAATGAATACTTAATAATCTGAAAATCATTCTATCTATACAACAAATATATTCTAAAAATTGTAGATAACATGAAAAAGTAATTTATACATGTAATGTTCAAATGACAGCTTTTGATGTGAATCATCAGATAAATAAGAAGAAAGAATTTATTATCAGAGGAATATAAACTTGTAAATTGTCTGTCACACATTTTGAAATAAGCATACAAAAGAAGACTTTATATTAAATATCTCATCAAATATGCTAAGTAGTTAATAACAAAGGTAAAACGGTTTTTTTAAAACTAATAATAAAAAAAAGCGAAACACTAGATTATCAAAGTAGTTTTAAAACAGTCCATTTTTTATAAAAGGTTGAATACATGGGCAAAGTTTCTTTTTTTTTCTTTATATTATATTTTCATTTTAATTTCTTTAATACAAGCTTTTATATTTTAATCGTCGGTAATCCTAGTATTAGCATATAAAATACATGCATTATCGTAAATATCCTTATGGAGATAAAGCATCCTATAATCAAGATAAAATATAAACAGGTTCCTTTTTAGAACCAATAAAAAGAGAAAGTAAGGCAATAGCAGTTATTAATATATAAAATGCATGGATTATCGTAAATATCCTTAAGCGGCGCACTATATCCAATCGGAACGAAAGCAGTTCGGAAAGTTCGGGATCGGTAAGCTCTCTCTAATAAAAACCAGCAATACAAAGTTATCTCCCAGCATTCTCAACGTTTCCATATATGCAATTGTTAGATAATCTGATTAACGGATACGAACCTTTAGAATTTGGCTTCTGCGAAAACTAAGCTCATCCTCAGCCGTCGCCGTGAAATCGTGCTTTGCTATCGCCTCCATTCTTCTTCCTCGTCCCTCGAGAATAAGATTGAAAGAGAGGGAAAAAGAGAGGCAGTGCTATATCTAGTCCTCAAAGGCAATACCAAAATCAGCCTTTGTCTGTTAATGGGAAAAAAGGAACTGAAGATAGATGTTTAGCGTTTTGTATGAATTTTATTCTTTTCTTTTCAATGAAAGACAAACTCGTTCGTTATGGTTGGGTGTCTATCCGTCGAAAGACACGTAATGCCCACGATACAACGCGCACACACACCGACCACTTGTGCTTTTTTTCTGTCCGTGCGATTTTTTGAATTAGTCCTTCGTTAGACCACCCCGATTAATGCCACGTTGAACCATACATATTACACGCGATTACGATGGTTTTCATGTATACCGGTTTATTTTCAGTCACTTGTACGTTGAACTGTCAAAACTTAAAATACGATCATCCACTCTCACGGCTGTCCATCGCTCGTCTTATCAGACATTACACTCGACTCTCCCACTGATCCGCTCACTGTGTTTCGGTTCAACAATGCGCACTGACCACTGCGCACCCTGACGTCTGAATTCTCTCGTCCAAATATACAAATGTCAGGTCAATCTATCCGGATACCGATCGAATAATTACGAGTCGGAGATTCGAGTTAAACGACCCGTCCACGATCGTCGCGAGATTTTGTATGCCATAGAAAGACGTGTACGATTCTTCGAAACGAAAAGCCTAGCGTACTACTTTTCTGTGGCGCAGGCGCGCGCATGCGCGCTTCCA